ATCCCTCCCGCCCCCTGTTGCACCCCTGTTAGTAGTAAAATTTTTTGTCCGCCCACCGGGCCCACAGAAATGGTGATTTATAAAGTAGGGAAGTAACTTTACTTTATAAAATTTATAAAGTAGACTTACAGCAAACACCTACTGCCCACCCTGAAAGCTGGAACGCCCACTAGTGGGTGGTAGGGACCAGGTTGACTACCACTGGTCTAATGGTCTCCCGTGGTGTTGTTAGGCAATTATTCAGTGATTCTATAAATAAAAGCATCCCTTTATCCCTCTTCCCAATATTCTAAGTATCTTCATTTGAGACACTTGGTTTATTAAAATTTGTAGAACTCCTGTAGTATTTAATCCCTCTCCTCTCTGATTATATCAGTTTGTGTTGTTTCAGTGAATATGTAGGCCCTTTACTGAACCCAAAAGTTAGAGTATTAATTGTGATATTTGAAGTATTTGCTTATTTTTTAGATTTAAAAAACCCCAATATAGCATATTTCCTTTATGCCACTCCTATCTAAAAAGTTATAGTTATACTCTTGTGAGTTCTGACTACAGTTTTAATCTGTGTCTTGTATTAAATCATAGAGATAGCTATTTTATGTGACCTTTGCTGTCTGTGGTGCCTTAGGTTAGAGAACAGTTTTGGAAATGATAGGAAGGGAATCGGTCATTTTATGAGAATGGGAATCATTTCAAGCATTTGACTTCTATAAAAATATAAGTATTTAGAAAAAAGTTGAATTCCTCTCTTAAATTCTAATTCACATGAAACAAAATTTTAAAATAAAATTAGCGAGAGAAAGGGACATCTCATTTCTAAAAATCACTTTATTCAAAATAGTAAAATTTACAAAAAGCACAAGGCTGCATAACAAAATAAAATGGTAGTATATTGCTCATTAAAATATTATTAATTGCATAATAAAAATGTGATAGAATTCTATCTCTGATTTTGAATTTTAAATTTAATGATAAATAGGAACTATTTTTAATTTTAAAAAAAATAAGATGAAAATACAGAAAATGACCCTAGTAGCTGAATAAAGAATTAAGTAAAATTAATTATATACATAGTCCTATAAATCAAAGTTTTGTCATTTGTTTTAACTCAATATAAAAAAAAGTATGGTAAAATTCTACTCTGATTGAGCTGTAGTTATTTTAATTTTCTGGAGTATGCGATGCCACCTAGCTGTCATGAACAGATGGTCTGTTTTTTGTCTTTTTTCTTTTTGGTACATTCAGGGCTGCCTTTTTCCATATGGAGGACATAAATGCTTATTTCTTCCTTTAAAGCAAGTCATTTATATATAATTTGGCTCCTGGTCAGAATTGGTTCTACTTCTTTCATTTTGCAGAGTGAAATGCCGGGTGAAATGTTGTGTTGAGGGGTCATTTTAAAAACTACCAAGTTTTTTCAATTAAAAAAATAGAATCTGTTTCTATGGAAGTTAGGAGAGTTTTATCCCCCCCCCTAATTATGAAAAGTAATTATCAGCTATGATTTATTTCTTCTATAGGTAGCCAACCAGGTTGTACAAGCACTGCTTACTCAGAAGGTAAGTCATTTATTTTCTCTGTGGTGTAAAAAAATACTTAACTAAAATTATAAACTTTTTTTGTCCAGTAAATTGAACATGATGATATATTGCATTGAATCACTAGGCATCCCTTTGATTATTCTTCTGAGGCCATTGAATAAAGATTAAAATTTTATTTCAACCAACACAAAACAGTGTCTTCCTGCTGAGAAATCCTGTGGAGTACTCAGAATGCTCTCAGCAATTGAGTAGACTTAACTTATAAGATTACTTCAAGTTAAGATGGACCTGAAATCTCATCCATATTTGGGAGTGTTACATTAAGTAAATTTACCACTGGTAAAATATAGCATTAGAATATGACCCCATTTTTGTATATACTAGGTGATGCCATTCTTACAGAATTGGAAAAACTGATTGCTTTGCTTAACATGATCATTTATACTTAGGGCTACAGACAACCAAGTCCCTACACATTAAATGAGACATGCAGCTGTTTTTAGTTTTCTTGAATTGCACCTTGGAGATAGCCAGTTTGATTGGAGCTGCTGTGCAACATTAATTGAATTTTCTCACCTTTCTCCCAGCTTATATGTGTGTAGTCTTTTTATTTATATACTATATTTTAGTTATTATTTATGTATGATATTGAAGCTCATTTTTCTATACCAAGATATGCACTAGGGCAGTGCTTTTCAGACTTGCCAACTTTACGACTTGGCAAGTATAACCCATGATGGCTGGGGAGTTCTGGAGCTGAAGTCCGCACATCTTGAACTTGTGAAGTTTGAGAAACATGGCTCTAGGGTTAAAAATCAAAACAAAACAGTGGTGGCATGAGAAGCAGCATAAAACCACAATTCCAATGTGGGTTTATCTCTTCTTGCCTAGAACAGGGAAAAGGTGGACTTACCCCTTTTCTTTGCCTGCCAAAACATTGATCCACCTTTACCTGGAGTTTTTTGTTTCCCAACAAGACTGAGCCTCTTCTTCTAGAAGAGGACCTTGCCACTTCTCTATGGAGATTCTTAATTATCCAGGCCATGGTTGTCCCAAAGGTGTTATTTCCAAAAGGCAATTGGACACTTGTTTTTTTTTCCTTGAAAATGTTTCCTTCCCTACACTTTTGCATGCTATAGCTTAATCATCCATCCAATTTTGTTCCACCCAATTCTGTTCCCGTGTGAATCTGTAAAGAGCTGTGGTGGTGCAGTGGTTAGAATGTAGTACTACAGGCTAATTCTGACAACTGCCAGCAATTTGAGTTTCACCGCTTCAAGGTTAGGGTTCAAGGTTGACTCAGCCCTCCCTTCTTCTGAGATGGATAAAATGAGGACCCAGATTGTTGGAGGCATTATGCTGACTCTGTAAACCGCTAGGAGAGGTCTGTAAAGCACTGTGAAGCACTATAAGCCTAATTACTATTGCTATTTCTAAATGCAGCAATATGTTTTGGAACTCCTGTTGGTGTGTTGGCATAATTGAAATGTTGCAGAGGGAATGGTGGTGGCAGTTTGACAAAGATAATGTGTGTCCAGTGATGGTTTCTTGGCCCACAGTTTGAAAAAAGAGTGATGCATTTTTCTTGTATATCATATTTTCAGGGAGCCTATGACAATTTGATTGTTTTTTATTTGGAACATATAATGCAAACCTAGATAAAAGTAGTCCTCAGTGTATGACCATTTCTTTAGTGTCCATTCTAAGTTATGACTGTACTGAAAAAAGTTATGTCTGGTCTTTGCGTTTATGACCATCACGGCATCCTCATGGTCATATGATTATGATATTGGTGCTTGGCAATCATTGCATATTTAAAATGGAAACCATGTCCCATGGTCATGTAACTGCCATTTATGACTTTCTCAGGCAGTTTCCAACCAGCAACATCAATGGAAAAGCTGGCAGGGAAGGTAGCAAGTTGTGGTCATGTGATGTTTCCACCTATTGACTGCAGAAAAATTGAGTGCAATCACATGATGCCTCACTTAATGTTTGCTCTGCTTAACTCTGACTATCCTGTCCTTTGTGGCTGTGCATTGAAACCAAACTGTGTTCCCTAAATATTCAACTAGATGGCAGAACATAGCTAATTTCAGGATGCTAAACAAGGCTTGAGCTAATTAGTATTTAGATGGGAAATCAACCAGTTTACAAGCAAGACTGGAAGAAATATCCTGGAAGAAGGCCGAGGACAAATAACTTCTTCACACTTGCCAAGAAAACTACATGGCTTTATCTATGTAATCACCATGAGTTCAGCTTCATTTGTATGATATTTCATCTATACTGTCTAAATGGTTTGCCGGTAATCAACCCAACTTCTCATGAAATGACTGTAATTGGCTAAATGATGAATTCAATTGACCATAATTAAACAAATAATATTCTATTTATACTTTATCATATCTATACCTCCCTCCCTCCTTTTTTTAACATTTTTGGATTTGGAATAACATCTCTGCTTTGTAATTATTTTTTTCTGGAACCCCCTCCAAAAGCTATGTGGTTGCACCTCTTCATCAACTCTGTGGCCATGGTTATTACGATAGTAGAAATCCATTTGGAGGGGTGCATGGCAGAGAACCTGCCCAGATCTACTTCTCAAAGCACGGAAACACCAGGCCCTTTTCAAAACGTCACGTATGGCAGGTGTCAATGGAAATGTTGTCAGTAAATGCCTCCATCTGCTTTCAGGAAATGGGATGCACTAACGCTAAGCAGTCAAGAGGATATGGGACTTTGAGTAAGGGGTTTACACAATACACAATAGATATTAGGAAGCTAAAAGATGATTTCATATTTTAACCCCATAGTATCTATGAAACATTAAGGAAACAAATGAACCAGTCCCAGGAACAAATAAAAAATACACTATATTGCCAAAAGTATTCGCTCACCCATCCACATAATCAGAATCAGTTGTGAGCGAATACTTTTGGCAATATAGTGTATATTCTATTCATATCTCCTGTACAAATCCTGAATTCAAAAGCCTACAAGAATTAGATTAGCATTCTACAACATAACAAGACTTTCAATGGGGACTTTCAAATTGTGTTCTTCTCAATATAGTATTATCTTACTGAAAAACATCATCCTTCCTTTTTCAAAACTAGTGAAGTAAGGGGAGATAATATTTTCATAATATAATTATAGCACCTTTAGGATTAAATTTTCCCCATAACTGCTCTTTTTGTCATTATCAGAAGATGTAAGAGCCACAGGTTCTAAGGACTCTCTGTGAGTGGACCAAGAATATAGATTAAAATGTGTTTAATGGAGTGATTTGCTTGATATTGACAAAATTTGACACATACACAGCCTTTAGCTGAGTAACTGAGTAACACTAGCTAATTTAATATCTTGAAGGGAAAACACAAAGCATTCTAAATGTTAATGAATGTTAACTCTTACAGCCCTTTTAATGCTATCTGGATTGAGAGCATTTATACAAAAGGACAAGAAGGCAAAACTACAGTAAATAGGAAATTCTGCTTTGGGGGTCAATCACAAATGACTTCTATATTAATCCAAGTAAGATCCAGTAAACAGATAAGTCTTCTACTACATTACCCTAAGACAGAACAAGTCTTGTCACCAAGATATGATACCCCAGAGGGACTTTATAAATACTGAAGGAATGTGAACAACTCTCACCAAGAATAATACCATGCAGGAACACTGATCATATGTATTATATCATGAAATTTCAATGGTCCTTTAAGGGATACTTTTGGTAGTGTTTTTATTATTTAAATCAATTAAATTTGATTAAATAATGGTTTAAGGAATAAAGTACAAATAGCCCAAAATTATATCAAATTATTGTCTATGGAGATTCTCAGTCATCCAGATTGTGGTTGTCCCAGAGGTGCATTTTCAAGAGGCAAGTGGACTTTTTGATTTTTCTTAAAACCAGGAGATCTTATCAACAGAGAGAGCAAAAACTTGAGAGATTTGTCAAGGTCATTGAACACTTGAGATTAAATTTATAGTTTAAAATAGGCACATTGGGTATGACTGTTCTTTGTAAGACATGGAATTCCTTTAGTGAGCTCAATTTTGAGAAGGCAATATATAGATTTAAGGGAGAGCACAGGAAATGAAATGAGAGGTCCTTGATGCTCTCTAAGCTTGGTTGTTTTCTTGCAGACATTTCACTACCCAAAATAGGTGCACTGATGATGTTAACCTAGTTTGGATAATGAAACATCTGCAACAAAACAGCCAAGTTCAGAGAGCACCAAGGACTCCTCATTCATACATTTGCAAGCAATGCAATTTTTTGAGCCCATGTGGTTTAGTCATTCTGGTGTTGAACTAGACTTTGGCTGGTTTCTCTTAGCCAAACTGACCCAGAGAGTTGTTATAGAGGAGAAACACTGTTCTTACTGTACAAAAAAGTGTACTCCATCCATCCATCTCTTCTGGTATGATTTAAGATAACTAGACTTCTAATTTTACATAGTTCAGTACTAAGAGTTGAAGTCTATAGAGATAGTCCCCAACTTACAACAGTTTGTTTAGTGTCCGTTCGAGGTTACAATGACACTGAATGAAAAATCACAATGAAAAAAGTGACTTATGATCATTTCCCACACTTACAGTCATTGTGGCATCTCCATGGTCAACATTGGTACACTTAGCAACTGGCATGTATTTATGACTGTTGCAATATCCTATAGTCATGCGATCATCTTTTGAGATCATCTGACAAGCAAAATCAATGGGGGAAACCAGATTCACGTAACAACCATGTTACTAACTTAACAATTACAGTGATTCACATAATAACTGTAGCCAGAAAAGTGGTAAAACGGGACAAAATTCACTTAACAAATGTCTCCCTTAGCAACAGAAATTTTGGGCTCAATTGTGCTCATAAGTAGTGACTACCTGTACCTCATGAATTTGCCAAAGTTGAGAAACACTAGTCTAGCCAGTAAAGCTTTAATTTAACCTTAAATCTAGGAACAAGTGAGGTTAACATCTAGGTTTTTGAAATGATACATATGTGATGTTGCTCAGTTTAAGTTAACCTGAATTCCCAGGTCTCATATAACCTGAATTCCCAGGTCTCATAAAACATTTATTCCTTTGAAGTCTGTGGTTTTCAATCTTAATTTTCGCTGCTAGCTCCTCCGTATCTTATTTGTTATAAACTCCTTAAGAAGTGGCATTAGCGCTTTTGCTTGCTTAAACAGAATACCTATAATAGCTCTCCATGTGAGGCCTGAGTTGATGCAGTTATTACCAGAGCATTTATTTGCTGAATTTAAGGATTTAGAATTGTACTGCACTTCAAATAAAATATCATTGCCTCCTTGTCACTTTAGTAGGCAGAGAATATATAACTTGGTTAGCCTTAGGGGTATTTTAAATAAGCACTGCCCTCGTAATGCACACAGGCAAAATGATTTCTTAGTTCATTCAACGTTAACTTTGAATTAAAGCTAAGCTATGTTTTTTTTTTTCCTGGCTATCTCTTAACAAAATTGTATTATTTCCCCCTCCCCACAATCATGCTGGCTTTGACACAGCACAAGAGAAGACAAACACTTGGGTTATTTCAGACTCTTCCACATTCTAATCTGTAGCTTTTGCTGGCTTATGTGTTTCTAATATCTTGTTAATATTGTTAATGAACACACAGAGACAAAGCTAAACATTGTTTTTTTCGGTCATGCATGCTTCCAAAAATAAACTATAGAAAGATAAGCAATGTGTCTGTTCTCAGGTTTAAGACACTTACATGCCATATATAGGACAGCAACATAGAGGCATGTATTTCTTTGCTTGTCCTTGTTGCTGATGCTTGACAGTGGTTTAAAATTTTCTACATAAGCTAAGTGGCAATGCCTAATGATATTAGCTGTTAAAAATAAATAAACCAAGCAAGATTGGACCAGGTTGGCCTTTGGTTAGGATACCACCTGTAAATCCCATGATTGTGGAATAGAGTGGGAAGTGAAAGAATATCCAAATAAGAAGCAATATCAATAGCAATAGCAATAGCAGTAGACTTATATACCGCTTCATAGGGCTTTCAGCCCTCTCTAAGCGGTTTACAGAGAGTCAGCATATTGCCCCCCACAACAATCTGGGTCCTCATTTTACCCACCTCGGAAGGATGGAAGGCTGAGTCAACCTTGAGCCAGTGAGATTTGAACCGCTGACCTGCTGATCTAGCAGTAGCCTGCAGTGCTGCATTTAACCAAGTATGAAATTATAATTATTTAAAATGAGGAATTCATGAATCTGGAAACTAAGATTTGTTCACTTTTTAAAATGGATTTCATCATTTTTCATTGGGCCCAGTTAAAATGCTTTGAATATTGCAGCACAAGAAATAAGGATGTGAAAACCAACTACTAAGAGAGATAAATCAGTGTTTTTGACATTGGGAACTTTTGTTACAAAATGTACTTTTAAAATATTATTTACTTCTGAAATATCTTCAGTTGTTGGAAAGAACTTGATTGCAATAAATTATTAATGTTTATGAAACATTGGTTTAATTTAAACCCTTTTGTAAAATATGCAAAGTATTATGAACTGCATAATTGAAAGTGTGGTGTTGGGGGCTTGGAATACAGTAAGGTAAAATCGATAGAATGCAAGCACTTAAATGTATCCACTAAAATTATTCTTTCCTGAGATTATACAGATTTTTTTCTTTAATTTTAAAAAGCAAAGTTAAACAAAAATATGTATGAAAGATTGTGACCAAATAGATAAGAGGGTCTACAGCTCCTTTCTCTAGCACAATTCCTCCTTAATTGTTGGGTTAATTTTTGACTTAATCAATCTGTGTTAATTACATATATTATTTCATTGTTAATGTGCACTTTTTTCAGTGCTGTGTTAATACATGTTTGATTAACATTTGCATACCATGCCTTTGGATTTGTTGATTCTGGTTCTCTTTCTTTTTATTATCTGTGAATCTAAATTAAAAAGTGATAAGATTCTTTTGTGCAATATTTTTTCAGTAGACCAAAGTGATTTGAATAGGATATCTTTGTATTTACCAACATAATTGTAACATTTTTCTTTTGAATATATAGTTTATGGTTTTTTTCTCAAAAATTGGAGTACAAAGTGTTGGTGTTACTTACACCAACAATAATAGTTCAAATACAAATTGATGTAAAGGTTTTCCTCTTTGGCATGTATTAGAGACATTATAACTGTCCAGGTTATTTAATAGGAACCAAGTTCAGTTGATTTACCCTAGGTCTAACATAATGTTTATAATGTTTATCCACTAATAAGTAAAAGACAGTAACATTATATGAGAACAATAACATTAAATTATCATGTTTGTATCTTTAACATTATAAAAAATATTACTATGTTCTCCATAGTGATGGAGGTAGCATCCAGACTGGGTTGACATCATCCGATCACTAATAGGACTGATGAAGCTAATAAGTCTGATGAAACTGTTAAGCCACACCCCTGTCACTAGGCAGACCCAGCTTTTGACTCTCAGTGAGGATGGATGTGTCATAGCATTGCTCCAGTGGCGTTGCTCATTATATGAATATATATCTGGGCATTTGTCAGAATAACTGATCAAGACCTTGTGAGTATTTGCTAAGGGAAGAGGTATAAGGGTTTGAGCCTCCCAGAAGTGACCATTGGTGCCTGTAGGGTGATGACAGGATTCTCCTCAGCAGCCTTTTGACAGCCACAGGTTCAGCTTCCCAAAATCAAGACTGACAGGAGCTCAGAAAGCCTAGTAGAGCTGCACACATCTCCTTCAAAGGCAAACCTCGGGGGCACAGTAGGAGTGCTCCACCACTCCTTTTATCAAATAAAAGTTGAGCGGCAAACGCAGCAAGGACAAGCGGCTGCGGAGCACCCACAGAGTTATAAAGCGAGCACTGGAGGAGCTGTACAGGCAGGTAGGTTCCCTCTTCTCATTCCGCGGTTCCCTTGACAGCCTCCAACTTAAAGTAGCACAGCTGGCAGTTAAATAAGAATCACCATTTTGGAGGAGGAGGTAGTGTTGATTACCCCCCCACTGGCCCCACCGGTTTTGGTTCGCCGATTTTCAGACTTTATCAGTGGACAAATCCTGGAGGATCCCTCGGGTCAGGATCTCCCTCAACCAGGGGTTGCTGGAGCATCCAGACCTCAGTGGCTCCAGCTGACCACCAGGCACTTGAGTGGAGCGTCCTGAGGGAGGACAAATTTTCCACCAGGGTCATTTGGATGATCCAGGCTGCTAGAAGGCTGTCCAGAGAGCAAATATACAACTTGACTTGGTGTACGTTCTGTTCCTGGTGTGCTTTTAAGACTCTAGACTCAAATAGGGGGACTATACCCCAGGTCTTGGATTTCCTCCAGGATGGACTGGATAGGGGGTTGTTCCAAATACTGTTTGGAGGCGAGTAGCAGCTATCTCATCAGTGTTGACTTGTGGGGGACTCTTGTCCTTAACCCAGCACCCCACCATGGCGTTTTCTGAAAGGGGCTACTAACTTCAAACCACCCAAGATACACAGGTACTCCACTTGGGTTTTATCTAAGGTCCTAGATGCTTTCACAGGTTCCCCATTTGAACCTTTACACACTGTGTCTCTGAGGTTCCTTACCCTGAAGGTAGCCCTCCTGGTGGCCATAACCTCACAAGGCGTATATTGGAGTTGTAAGCTCTTTCAACAAGAGAGGACCTCTGTATATTTCACCAAGACCGTGTGTTATTGCACCTGGACCCCTCCATCCCCAAGGTGTGCTCCTGTTTTCACCGGACTCAAGAATTTATTCTTCCCAGTTTCTGCCCAGAACCATTGCATCCCCTAGAAAGAAAGTGGCACACCTTGGACATGAGGGCTCTAAAGATTTCCCTGAAGGAATTACCCCCTTGCCATTCAGGAAATCAGAGGCGCTATTTGTGTCCTTGTGTCCCAGCCTCTGTAGACCAGAAAATAACTGCCCCCACAGTGAGGGCCTGTATTGCCATGGCATATCAATCACAATCTATGACAGCACCGGGTAGGATGGTTGTGCCTGGGCATTGGACGGGGCGGAGTTTCCACGGTAGGCGCGGTATGTTGCCCGTGCGATGGATGTCGGCATCCTAAGTGACACCTGCAGGGAGCGCTGGTTCATCACCACCTGTTCGTAAAGTGACAGCTTCCCGTGTGTCCGCAGAAGAGGTGGCGTTCCTCCGGTGCTTTCGGAACATGAGGCGCAGAGGCTCTGCAGGGTCACTGGAGGCCTTCCAGTAAGCTTTCGCAGCCAATTTAAGACAGCTCCAGTGAATCCAAGGCTTAATTTCAGCTACCTTAACAGCAAGGGGAGAACAAACAACAACAGTATACAGCCCACGCCATTTGGGGCTCAATGGTCCCTTCTTCCAGTCCTTCACCCAGACTTCTTGTCCTGGGCAGAAGTTGTGGACTGGAGTTACAATTACATGAGAACGACAATACAAAACATATTTTTACAATTGGTGGACTATGGCATTCAGGGCTTGCAACTGTTTGAGCTTCACCGTGTCTGCAACCTGNTGTGTGTGTGTGTGTGTGTGTGTGTCTGTCTGTCTTAAATCAAGTATATTCTAGTATTGACATAATTTTTTGGAGGGGGGGGGGGTCAGATGTTGTTACCTTGTTGTTACTTATTCCATTTTCTTTCTTGCTCCAGGATTTGAGAGAGGAATGCTTGAAATTGAAAACAAGAGTTTTTGACCTGGAACAACAAAACCAAACACTGAATGTGCTATTCCAGCAAAGAGTGAAACCCACATCTAGCATATTGTTTCAGGTAAACTTATTTGTAAATAAATGTTTGCATTCAAATACACTATATTTCCAAAAGTATTCGCTCACAACTGATTCTGATTATGTAGATGGGTGAGCGAATTCTTTTGGCAACATAGTGTATACTATACTTTTATCCTGATTAAAATTACTAAGAATGGATAGGTATGATAAAGCCAATAAGAAAAAAATGACATTTTATAGATATAGTAAATTACAAGAACATGACATTTGAAAGCTGCTGTATTGCATTTGAAATGGAGAGTCCAGATAGTTCTTGTCTAGGATTTCCATGTTTAATGTCCATTTGTAGTTTAGTGTTATGACAGTGATGAAAAACTAACTTTACCACAATCCGAGACTGTAAAGCAAAGGAAAGCTGAAGGTAGGTCCTAAACATAGTTTCACTTAGCAACCATTTCTTAATGACTGAGTTGCCAGTCCCTGTTGTGGTTGCTAAACATGGGCTACCTGTGTGCACAAAGAGAAAGACGAAAATGCATTACTGTGTGAGATGTTTCTTGCCAAAAAATTAGATACTTTGCTGTAATAAAGAAGCAGAACAACAATCTCCCAGGGCCAAATGCTTCCATTATGTAATCTCATAATATAATTGTATTAAAGTCTAGATTTCCAGACAAACAGATAATTTATCAGAAATCTTGTGTAGATGAGTTGTATCCTGTGGTAACCTTCCCATATCTAACTTTTGTGCTTAGTTTTTCTTGAACTCTGATTTTCCTTTTTCATGGCAAGTTTTCTAAAGGTTAGGGAAGTTTTCTACAGAAAAACAAGTTGTAGGGCAAAGGGATGTAGAAGTTAGAAGACATAAGAAAAATAAAAGATGTCATGACTTAGACAAACAGAAGTGCTTTATGATAACACAAAACCATCCTTGGATTTAGCTCTATGTTTTCCATATGAATGGGTTCATTCATATATTAGAAAGTTATATGAAGAAAAGGAAGTGCTTTCATTGCCTTGTAAATATCATATCTGCACAGTTTAAAATAAGTGAAACTCATCAACATTACACAATGACAGCCTTGTAGCTGGGTCTCCCTTTGTGCATAAAATGAATAAAAGATTAGTGTTGGAACCAGAAGAGGGGAACAGTATCTCTTCTGGTCCTGCGGGCTCCCTTGTTTGCATTTAGTACCATCAACAAGAGACTCCTTCTGAGCCAACTGAAAGGAATGAGGACACGGATTCTGAGTTGCAGTGGTTTTACTACTAGCTGGCTTTGATCAGTAGTTGTGAGGAGGGAGAGGATGAATCTTTGAGTGCTCTGTAGGATGGTTCAGCCCTTCCCTCTATAACCATCAGGGGAGAGTATTCATTGACAAGGGGTTATCTGTATGAGCTACCATTTCTGGCACAGCATGACATGCAGTTGTGTCCCTTTCTCGGTATCTGAAGGCTGTTAAAGATTGGATAGGGTGGAAATGGGTTCATGCTTATTGTCCCAAACTAATGTCTGGAGGTTCAGAAACTGACTCAGAAAAGTCCTCTGCTACCACTGATGTAGTGATGCTTTCAGGGACAGCAGCAGCATGAATGTTCATTCAGAAGTGACACAAGGATAAAGGAACCTTTTTGTGTATCCCATATTTCAACTGAATGTTTGTGTCACCAAACAGAATAAGATGTACCAATTGCATGTGAACAAGTGCACTCATTTCACCATGAAAGTGGAAAGGTCTCATTCCATACCTCTCTAATTGGAGGGACTACATTTGGATTTATCCAAACTTTTTTTTTTATGTTATAGTGCAAACTCATGGAAGCCATTGATTTTAGAATGAGAGTGATAGAAGTGTATTAATAATCCAAGCACGTCATAAGCCTGCTCCCTTGCACAATTTTATCTAAAAAATAGAAATAATTTTCAAGATAACTCTGTAGAAAAAAACCCCATACAATATCAGAAGAGAGCAAAAAAATTAAACTCATTAGGGAAGATACTGCAGAACATTGTTTTTGGAATTCTTTCTAAATCTTGGATAATAGCAATTATTTGAAACATATGGGAAGGAAGAAAGGAAAGGAAGGAAGGAAGGAAGGAAGGAAGGAAGGAAGGAAGGAAGGAAGGAAGGAAGGAAGGAAGGGACAGACATAGAGACAGACATANTCAACCCTGAGCCGGTGGGATTTGAACCGCTGAACTGCTGATCTAGCAGTAGCCTGCAGTGCTGCATTTAACCACTGCGCCACCTTGGCTCTCAAGCCATTTGTTTACTATGGTGAGACAATTCCATGCAGACACCAAGTGGTAAGCTGTGTCTCCCTCTCTGTTTCTTTGTCTCACACCCAAACACACACCATTTTACTTACAGAAATACAGGAATTCTCCCATTCACTCATCATTTTATCTGAGTCTTTCTTTTTTTTTTTGTACTTTTATCTACATGCTTATAGATAACCATTCTTGAAAATAGAATATAGCTATCATATTTATGCCCAGAAAGTTAAATCCTAGTGTTACAGTGCCTGCTGATGGAACAGAACCAAACACCTATCAAAAAGCTGTAACTTCTATGACTAAATCAATTAGAATACTTATTTTATCCTAATAGGTCTTAGCTTTCTTACAACATGTCCACCAAAGATGATAAAAAATTCCTTCAGACTCACTTCAAAGAATTCAGAAATAAGTATACTGAATAGAAAGAATAACAACTGAGCTGTGTGCCTCCAATTGTCCTATTTTTCCTATATGCATTTGAATCTTCATTTTGGTGCTATTTAACTAGAACTATTTGTTTGAAAATGTTATTGTAATTTCAGCAAAATCCCTCTTACTCCATCTCATCCCAATATATCCCAGATATATTAATAGAACCCCACGTCCATGGGAAACATAAAGTGTTCCCATAGGCTGCGTTCTGTATTGTCCTGGCCCACATCAGAGGTGGGGGTGGGTGGGTGGAGAGGCAAATGATTCATTGACTTGCTTGTATATCTTCACAATAGCTGGCTTTTGTGGACTATAATTTTTCAGATTTCATTGGAATATTAAGAGAACTAATATTCCTCACTGAAGATTTAATGTTTCACAGGGAGGCATCAATGGAGAAGGGATAGATATGATGCCAGTGCTGGTTGATTTATAACACAGAGGTTAAGAGAAACTGTATAATAATATCATGTCAAATAAAGCTACGGTAACTCTGCTCAGTATAGCTTTTATCTTCTTTTCACCTGCCGTTGGTTTGCTTTTCCCATTTTTACTTGGGATGAAATATAAAGTTACTTTGCTCATCTTTCTCCAACACTCAGCACTGTATAAGAATACTTCTAGAGCACTGTTCCTTATGGAGAAATAGTAATTTGACATATAATAATTTGTATTTTATTGTATTTATTCTTGTAAATATAGACATAGCAGAAATAATCAAAATAGTTTTATACACTCACCTGCCAAAAATATCCTTGAATAACTGGGATTAGTTTTAGTATAGATGCAAGCAAAGATAGAAGTAAAGTAGTGTGTAAATAAAGTCTATTAACTTTTTAAGTCCAAGTTTAAAACTTTATCTGTTTCAGAAAGTCACCTTTTAAACATTATTTAGACATACTACTGCTGAAACTATATATGGGTCACCAGAGGTGGCTTTCTGCTGGTTCAGCACTGATCGGGCGAACTGGTAGTGGCGGTGGTGGGAGGCTCTGCCCACCTGCCCTGACCTTTTTGTGCACGCTCAGAAGCGTTGCGTGAGCAAGCGAATCGGTAGTAAAGAAAAATGGAAACCCACCACTGTGGGTCACACAGTTTATGGATTGTGATTTTAGTATAGTTAGATCATGTATAATTGATAGACTGGATTTTATCATAGGTTTTATCTGTTATTTATTATTTTATTCTAGAATTTTTAATTATATATTTATTGTATATTTTAATTGTACATTATATTTATTGAGGATGTGTGTGTGTGTGTGTGTGTGTGTG